CCTAAAACCTTAATAATGTGGCAGTTTTCGGCATGGGAAAACAGCTCCAGCCTGTAGCCTTTTCATGGGCCCCGTGTGGATTTGTCATTGAATGAATAGGTATTGGGTCAAGCTATATTGATGCAGGCTTGCAAATACTCACGCTTAGAGCTCAGACTGAGCTACTGCGTGTACCCAGCTCCAGCCGGGGGTGTTTGCTGGCCTGAATAAGCTCACTCAGGACAAGGGAGTCTTTCCGATGACACCAGTGGACTATTTGTGTTTGTGCATCCATGCAATACAGACTAGAGAAAAGGTCACACATTATTAAAATCAATAAGGCATTTTCAAGTGTTAATAGCGTTGCGTGATGATTGCCTACAAGACTCGTGGTGTGTTTTGTATTTGAAACCCTCTTGGGGGAAAAAAAAACCCATTTGTAAGCTGTAAAAAATGCTCACTTTAAATGCACTCACCAGCAAGGCAAATACAGTCAATGTTTTTTCCAGTTGATAGCTACTATCTGATGATATTTTGGGATTTTATTAGTAAGTATAAGATGCATTTATTATCAAAGTGATTTTCTGCCATGATCACACACAGGAATTAGTGCAGAAGTGTTATTTCACCAGCAAAGTCTTTGCCTTGCATGCTCTTAGCAGAGAGGGCCATATTGCTTGATTTTTGAAAACTCATTTTTCCAAAAGCCAAGCAAAAATCCCATTGCCTTTTGAACAGAGAGACAAAGGATGTGTGCACTCAAACACCTATATAATTAAAGCAAAGGTACTGTACCTTCTCATCATAAAGACATGCTACAGGTGTTCAGGAGGGGCCATGTGAGCAGGTGATATGAAGTGACAGGGACTAAAAAATCCCTGCTGGCCCAGGCTGCTGACAGGGACCTCCATGCTCCCGAGCTCCCCAGGCTTGGCCCTTCCCTCTTGATGTGATGGTGTAGTGGCACATGAGAGGGAGGAGACATTCAGCCGCAGGAGAAGCCTGTATCCCCCAAACAAGGAGGAAATAAGGAGCAGATGGGGCTCTCATCACTTGCTTCTCCTCCCACCACCACTCTCTGAAGCTGGTGGTTGCATCCCGTGCTGGGGGCGAGGGGGGGAGCATGCTGCGGAGAGGGTGCCTCCGCTCCCCAACCCGTCTTCAGCTAATGCCACCCCCATCTGGTGCCTCGGGGTGGGACTTTATGGCACGCAAACTTTGCTGCAGGGCTGTTGAAAATCAGCACTGATTTCTTCACATTTTGCAAACCACTGTGTTTCCAGGTCTCCTGGGGCAGCTGAGGAGAGCCATCACCATGATCCCTGCACTGCTCTTGCTGGGCCTTATGGCCTTTGTCGGTGAGCTGGGGTTTGGGTTTGGTTTGCTGTCAAAAGCACCCTGGGAACTGTTTGCAGAGGGACTGTGGAGAGGAGGCATGCGGTCAGGCCTGAGGTCCCCTTTCTGCACAGTGCTGTAAAACCCTGTGTGGCTGAAGGTCCTCAGCTGCTGTATGAGGCTGCTTGCCGCCCACCTGCATCCTTTAAACCAGCACGTCTGGAGTACGGGACTGACACCAAAAGGGAGTCACAGACATACCTCCTCTTGATTTTCCCTGCTAACCTTATCCAATCTCTTTGCCTACTCAGAAATGGTCTCACAAATGTCACAGGCTGTTTGATGGAGGCTATTCATTCCTCATTTACTGAGGAAACAGGGTAATTGGCCCAGGCTGAGGCAAGCACTCTCCTGAATTAATTCCTCACCAAGTTACGGAGGGATACAGGAGACATTCCCAGCCAGGATGCTCAGGTACTGCCAGCTGTCATCTGAGGGGTCCCAGACATCGGAGGGCATCGAATAGGAAAAACCCTCTGAAATAAATGCAGAGGCTGTGGTTCCCCTCTCCCACACCAGCCTTTAGACCTAACAGGGCAGACGCCTATTCATCTGAATTGTCATTAGCTTCATTCGCTTCAGCCTATTCAATTAGAAAAGAACAAACTTCTGTTCTCTAGCTTTCATTGATAATGTTACTGATGGAGAACAGTGGCAATGATGCAAGCATGGCCAACACAAGGTGATGTGGATTATGAGTCTGCATGAATTCCTCATGCTTGACTTGTACTCACTCGCAGCACGCTGCATGATATTGCTCTGAGATCTTACATGTTCAAACACCTCCGTTTAATTTTTCAGCTCCATCCATGAGTTACAGTTGCTATGGTGATATAAGTGCTCTTCAAGCCCCCACGATCTCCTGTACAGCCGTAAGAGCCCCAGGCTGTGGTAGGTATCATTCACTGCTTGATTTGTCAACCTGTTTGTTTGTACCTGACAGAGAGATGCTTCTCCTTCCATTAAATGTAGTGCAACTATTCAATTATCCAAAAGGGAGAAAGCAACACCTTCCCAAATAGCAGGTGCTGTGAAGCCTTCAGACCTGGTGGGAAGTGGGAGGACAAACTTTAGGTCCCATAGTCAGGATCTTCAGCCTCTAAGCAAAGGGAAATGGAGCAACACATTTTCAGTCAAAACAGCTTCTTCATCAGCCAGGACTTCAGCATCAGCATCCTCACAAAACCACGGGCCTCTCAGCTCAAAGGGGAAGATGTGCAGAGCCAGGCCCTGAATGCTGGCGTGTTGGCTGAGCTGGCCAGCAGTGACCTTCCAGAGACACATTTTGCAGGGGGAAGGTCCCAGGTGTGTAGCCATCCTACCTCTGGGTGACCTGTTTTTGGTAACTCCTTCCCATTTCCCTCTTTCTTGCCTTGTGTTATTGCCCCGTGCACAGCTGACTACCTCAGGTTCATAGTGCCCAGACCTCCAGGGACTCTGCCACATACCTCAGACATAGACATCTCTGGGGCAGACACCTGACTGTGGGTGTCCAAGCGTGGATCTGAATCTGCTTGCTTGTTTTCAAGCTGTTCCAAAATTACTTTAAAAAACCCCCACCTTCCTATGCACAGACTAACAATGTAGCTGTTACTGCAGTTTGGCCAGTCAGTAGTAACGCATCTCTCGCTTTTTTCAAATGCAATTTGAAATTTCACTTTTCTGACTCCAGAGCCACATTTCCAGCAGTGCAGCAGCAGGAAAGGACCATGAACCTGGTCTTCCACCTGAGAAGCTGCTCTCTTCCCCTCATTGCCCTCGGGTACTGGCACGGCAGCTCCCCGGCCATGGTCGGAGCCAATAGGGCTGTGCTTGTTCCTCAAGTGCCGCTGCGTGACTCAGCGTAGCTGCGTTTTCTTCAAAACTGGAGTTACTCCTTTAATACACCTGCTCAAGGGGAAAGCGAGGGTTTTGGATGGGAGGGTGTGTAAGTCTGCCTTTTCCTACACCACAGGACTTGCCATGGTACGGAGGACTGCTGAGGCAGACATCGTACGCCTGAGGAAATACGAGACCCCAATTAAGAGAGTAGCCAGAAACTTGTGCTTGGACCCGGCACTCATTGCTGCCATCATCTCGCAGGAGAGCCGTGTTGGCCTGCTCCTGGACAATGGCTGGGACCAGGAACGGCACAAGTACGGCTTGATGCAGGTACATTGGGATGATAAGTATGAGTAACAGAACAGTAATATAGTGTATGTCCCAGGGCCTTACCTTAGCAAATGACAGTTCTATGTTCAAGACAGCACTTAAATGCGTTCCCTCTACATCAAAGGTTGTGTTTAAGTATTGTCCTGAATAAGGTCACTTCAATGAGTCACAGCCTGGGATTACAAAGAAGAGGGGGAAGCGACAGTGGTGGTTGTGTTCAGAGGGAAACCAATTTTCTTGCTTGACTTTTCTAGCTTGGCGGGCAGCAACACCAGCCTTTCGGAGTGTGGGATAGTGAAGAACACATAAATCAGTGCTCAACTATCCTGGTTCTTGCAATTAATGAAGTACGGGCAAGACATCCTACCTGGACCTGGGACCAGCAGCTGAGAGGTACACAATGGGCTATATACTAGAAAGGGACACACTGAGTGATGGGAGTGCTGTGCATTTGTTGGTGTCACTTTTAAGGGAAAAAGAGCATCAATCTGGCAGATTTTACAGCATCTCTTACCAAAAAAAAAAAATCAAACCCCAGACTTTTCTAGTTTAAAAGAGGCGATCCCAAAACAGCAGACTGGCAAGAGGTCTGAATATAGACTCAGCCCCCCAGCTCAAAGCACTGTCCACAGGGCCTCCATGTTTCTGCCTGCAGAAGAGAGAATGTGGTGGGACACCAAGCTCCTTGGCAGCCTTGCTGCAGTAGGAAGCAGTGGGAAACCAGCCCAGCCTGGGAGCTGCCACAGTGGCATGGAGGTACCCCATGCAGGGCTGGGCAAAGGTGTCAGGGCACAGCCTCAGCAGGTTGCCCCTTGACTTCAGTGACACACACCCACAGAGGGCCACTACATTGAGAGGCTGGGCCACCGCTGGTAAATGGCTGGATCCAGGACCTCCTTAAATTCCCTGGAAAAGGCATTGTGCTCAGTGAACATGAAGAGGTCTCAAGTTATCCTCTTATCTGTTCATCCTACAAATGAAATGGCTGTCAGGTGTATAAATAAGGTAGAAACCAACCAAACAAAAGCCACTGGGGAAGGCAGAAATTGAGGCACCACCACACAACAGGCTTATCACGGCAGGCTGTTAAGTTGTGTCAAGGAAGCTTGGGATCCAGGTTTCCTTGTAGTCTGTGTTACCTGCCTGCTGGTTTGTTCACCCTATGCTATTTCTTACTCTCCCGTCCTTGTTCTGCCACTGCCTTTTTAGATTACACCCTTTTCTGGGACCAGCGTGCCATTCCCACCTGCATTTGGAGAGAGTCATGGGTTCCTTCACTATAGAAATAAGGATTTTGCAAAATCAGTCACTTTTTTACAACAATGCACAATTAGCAATTTCCCAAGCAGTTGTGTAGGTTTGGTGAGATGCATGGCCTTTTTGGCTAGGAATTTTTACTTTTAAATCTCTATTTCTTTCTTACAAGCCCATAACAACTCCTTCTTAACTCTTTCCAGGGGGAATCTGCACCTACCGTGCAAAAATGGGCAACTTCCAGCCCTATGAGGAAGACCCATGTGAAAGAGACAACTACTACGTCAACAGCGTGATTAGGCGAGCCCAGTACTTTAAGAGACATGGGTTCTAGCTCATAAACCTGCCCCGCCACCGAGACTCTCCTCTACATAGACTAGCCCAGTAGTGATCATAGTGCCCAGAGCAGTTCCTCAGGTCTCCTGGCAGGACCAATGCTGGTGGCAACGGCACCTTGCTCACTCTGGCAAGCCCCAGCTCCCCGCTCGCCGATGGGCGAGCTCAGCACTGCCTTCCAGGGGACCTGCAGGGACGAGAAACCATGAGCTTGGGGCCTTTGAAAGCTAGGCGGGGACAGACCAGCGATGTTTAAGTGCTGAGTGAGGAAAGTGCCTCCTCTCATTCAGAGCTGAATCCAGGGCTGTCCATGCATCCCCCAGGTGCAGGCGTGCAAGCGGCTCTCCATGGGCATCGGCTGTGCTCTTCCTGCCTCTTCCATCCACCTTCTTCCCTCTCCCTGGCCAACAAGGGGAAGAAGCCCCTGAATTGAAATCTTCCTTCCTCTTGATTGTGCTAGCTACTGGGCAATGAAGAGACTTCTCGATGACCCTCTGCTCACTGCATGTTTCTGCACTAGCTGTGTATTCCTGTAGCCAGCCTTTTGGGGCACAACGCTAAACACACTTCTGTTAGTCTCCCAAGCCATGGAGTCCATGGCCATGGTGGGGATGGTGGCCTCTTCAGGGTGAAAAGCAGCCTCACGCAGTGGAAATCCTCTATATGGGAAGTACTGCAAGTGCCATAGCAGGCATGCAAAACACCTTTCCATTAGTGAGCAGCCCTCCAAGCAGAAGCCGGCCCTGTATGTACCTGCCCCAGGAGCTGTATCCCAACAATAGTGTTGGTAAAAAAACCCCACAACCTTTCCTGCTTTAGCTTTGGCACCTTCATGCTGGGTTTCCTCCAAGTTTAAAAGCGTTTCAGCATCTGTCCCTCTGCCAGGAATCCCAGCTTCTAATTAGGAGTGAATTAGCTCTGGGTTTATAAGCTCTGTTTGAAAGTGTTCTTCAATGAGGATGGGTCTGGGTGCAAATTTAGGTTTACTGAGAATAATACTCAGAATAAGACAGAAAATAAAGATAAATGTTGAATCCAAATATTTTAATTTTTTTTCATGGGGCCCAGTGGGTGGCAACCTGCAACCTGAGTAAATAACCCAATTTGATACTCTCGGAATGGGTCTAAAACTCAGTTTGAGAACAGGGAGAGGAAAATGGTGCTGCAGACTGGGGTGGGTGAGAAGATCTGGGCTGGGAGGCAGAGCATGAGGCAGCCTGAGCCCAGCCTCTCACCCCATACCTGTGAACAGGGGAATAAGGACGTTCACATTTAGCCTTTTGACTAACCATTTTAGAGGCGTCAGGGCACCTTTCTGCCGGCTGTCATCATTGCCGATGCAGAAGCGATGTGCCTAGCAGTCCCTGCCCAGCAGCACGGGGCTGCGCTGCGCGTGTGCCTGGGCTGCTGGGCAGGGTGGATGCAGGCAACGTGAGAACTCATTTGGAGACAGCTTTGGCAAGTGGAGCAATTTTAACGCTGTGCTCCTTCTCTTGCCAGTCACTCATCTGCTTACCGTCGCGGCAAGGACTGTGCGTGATTAACGTATTTGCAAGCAAACTCATTTTATCACCTCTGGATACCAGAGGGAGCTCTAGGACGTCTCTAACGTTACTGGGTTTTTTTAAGACTACAGAAAACAGTTCAGTGTTGAGCAACCGGAGGTATTAAACTATATATTATTTAGTCATTAGTGAATTCTGCACTATATTAAGATAATTTTAGTAAAATCACTACTTTGTAACACAAACTTGTGAAACATATCACATGGTTTGATCCCCTCTACTTGAAATAGCTTGTGTAAAATTCATAGGTTGAAGTCTTTGCTGCATTATGTTATACAAACCTCTATGTTATACAAACCTCTTATGTAAAACCTATGAATGCATATTTGGTAGAACACTATAAACTTCAAATGGGGCAGGGAATCTCATCGCTGCCTACATGTATAAAGCTGGGGTTTGAGTTTGGAGGGTGAACAAGAGTGGAGCTTTCTTTGGTTCCCTTCACGTCGCCCTTAATTGCTGACAGCGGGCTCCCTGTCACCAGTACTTGGTGTTGCCAACCCTGCAGATCTGTGAGCTCCTCAGCTCCACGCGTTACCTATGAAGCTGCTGCTTCACGTTATGGTAGCAACAGCCAAGGGCCTGCAGACCTGCCTGCTGGCTTGTGCAGCATTGCCACGAAGGATTATTTATTTTTTAAGTCTATTTAAAAGTCCTGATTACGGGAATCCCATATTTTGTTGCAAATATTATTTTAGGGTATCAGCACTTTGTAGCGAGTAAGGAAAATCTCTGCAGAAAATGAGTTGAAATATAATTGCTTGATAAATTGGCAGGAAGGAGTAAATAATTAAGGAAAGTTTAACACTGGCCCACTGCCTTAAGACTGAGCAAAAGCCTTCCTGACAAACAGTGAGTTCAGGTTGCTTTTCCTCTCTGATCTTTTCCTGGTCACCCGTGCCCATGTTACTAGAAGTTACTTGTCTGGCTGGTGTACACGGGGCTGCTGTGTTCGCACTCTTGGTCACCCTTCTGACCCGTGGCCTATTAAAAAAACCGGGCAGCTTGCAAAGCAAATTATCTAATACCAGGTAACATATCAGAAAAAGCAGAAGCACAGGTGTATTGGGTCTGGCTGAGGTGGACTTAATTTTCCCCATGGCAGCGCTCATAGTGTTGTGCTTTGTATTTGTAGCAAGAATGGTGTTGATAACACACCAATGTTTTGGCTACTGCTGAGCAGTGCTTGCACAGCATCAAGGCTGGCTCTCCA